TGTTTCATATTTTGCCTCATTCGATGGGCATGGTAGAATGTCCTCAACCAGCGTCATAACCGAGGAAGGAAGGCCTGAGACGAGCTGACTGTACTTCCGACCGTCCTTTGTAATACCCTTATTTTCCAGTTCGATCTCGAATAACTTAAACCAAACCTGTGGTCTTATGTTCAACTTCAGAGCGAGAAAGCGGATCCATGCATATTACCCTAGAAGCATTATGATCATTGTATGACAGCAATTCCGGTATTTCCGGCCGATTAAATTGCTCTTCAGAGTGGAGTTTCGATGTTGCTCTCTCCCATTCCTGCACTGAGACTCTCTATTTCACCTACGGTCCCATTGGTCGATCGAAGCCACAATTGAGCTTGCGTGTCACAATCCAAGGTACACGACGGGTACTCCAAAGCCCGATAATCATGCACTTAAAAGCGCTTTTTGGTCCAACATTCCAGGCGCTTTGATAGGTTGTGGATCAGATTTTTACTCTCGTCGCATATAGTCACTCTAGAGCTAGGTCTGCTACCACCTGTTTCTCGTACCAGACGGAATAGCTTCCTTTAGTTACCAACAGCATCGGTCATTCCCATCTCTCATGCACGATGAGACTAACAGGCTCGGTCGTCTCTCTCCAGGCTTGCACAAACTTTTGCCCTGAGGTCTTTGCAAGTCTTCTGTGTTCACTTCCTGTCAGCATGTGTCGGGGTGCGTACAGCGCTCCAGTTTCGGTCCAATTTATCTTAGTTGATGGTGGTACAACCACGCGTCGGCGAATCCCGTGAGGATCCCCAAGGTCCCAAACATCTGTGGAGACGTGGGAACATCAGAAGGTAAGATGTGCATCGCTGGTACTGCTATGTTGTCCGGAACCTCACGCTCCAGAATTTAAGTAGTTGGTCCTACGTGATGGCGAATGTTTATCATGTACTGCTCATTTCTGCCGGGAGAATTTGTCCAGCGCCACTAAAATGGGTGCTTGGAAAGAAACTCCGGGGCGTCTGCAAAATTTGAAACGTTTACGTTTATTAGGTTATGTGCCTGTCGATCACATTGTGCACTGTGTGCGGTCGTTTTATCTCATTGGGCAAAGCAACGGGGTGGCCAGTCAATGGCCAGGTATAAGGGCATGAATCGACTGCCTGAGACTGCATCGACTTGGCACGTGTGGTTTTCTTGAATGGAGACTTTGAATCGCGATCCTGTTCAATATGTCGCGCTTGCGAACTCACTAGTGCTCCTGAATTCGGTCTATTGCGACTTAACTGTGTTCACTATTTTCTAATCCCATTCTCTTTACATTCCTTTTACGTTCCATCTTATTTTCTGGTACACAATCCACGCCAACCGAATTCACCGCGTTTTGGCGTTCAACTCCTAGACAAGCTGAAGTGATTTGCACCTCGTGTCAATCGCCTACTGTCTTTCCACTAAACGAATTGTGGGCAGCTAGTGTCTTACTTAACAGCTACTAGCGGTGGTTAGGAGCATAACGTCAACAAGGCCTAGAGCTCGCTGTGTTTTTCGAGACAATTTTTCAGCTAATTCACACACTTAATACTCGTTAGTATTATCCATCTGTGCTATACTTTGCTAAACCTACTCCCCTACCCTGACCTCATGTACTGTTGCGTATTCCTTGTCGGGATAATCTCGTCACCTGCTTTTTATTTATAATCCAAATATGAATGGCTGATGCCGCCAACAAGATGGCTGCTACGCTGAGGGTATCCACCTTTATCACCCTTACATTGAAACTCATTTTGAACAACTCAGTATGCTTATAAACCGCTCTGTTAATGCTAGCTTTGAAGTCAAATTCAACGTCTTTTGTTTGTCAGTCATGATCCGGACTCCGGACTACTGCAGAACACATTGCGGAATTCCGCTTCGCAATGTCATCCTGAGCGGAGAGCATCATAACAACTGAGCAGAATTTTCTGTGTCATAGAAGGATCTGAAGCGGGTAATGGAATAAGAACCATACTAGTCTAACCTGATGGCTAACAACTGGGAGAGAGCGTAAATAAAAATGTTCTATGGGCTGATACAAATTGGGCGTTACTCGCATGAAAACACTGCATTGCACTACGCGTTTCGACATTATTTACTCTCATTCATCTATAGATAACAGGCTTCGAACCTGGGTTGAGGTCTCATCTAGCATCCAAATGGTCCCAGGTTTGAGACCTGTTATCTCCACCTGATGAGATCAATTCAGTTCAAAACGCGTCCTGTAGTGTAGTGTTTCCGACCGGATAAAACGCTCATTTTCCTTCTGCTTTATCAGCTACTGTTCTAGTGATCGAATTGACCCAAGGTTCACTTCAGTGCAAACCACGATCTACTTTGAGATTGCACGTCACAATCCAACTCCACAATGAGTACTTCAAAATAACCCTCCAATTACTTCCATAGTCTCTTCAACTAATTTCAGTTGTTCGTAGGTGTGGTACCATGACCTTTCAAGACAGCGACAAGCATCAACGCGACCTGATCCATCGCGCGAATCCTCAGCTTTTTGGGGATTCATCACACTATTATTCTGTTGCCTCACACAGTAATCCACGTTTAACTCTCACCAATCATGCGAAGAGCATGACTCATCCCATGTTGTCTTGGATATCCATTTACTCAGCACTGGCTAGTTCATGCGTGGGTCTGTTCAGTGAATTTGATAGTCTGACTACGGGCATCTGTCGCCAAGCAATCAGGGATTTCGTCGGCGCAAGCGTATTAATGTGCGGAATCATTTTTGCCGACATGTTTTATCTTTGCTTTCGACCAGATCATCAGGCTTTACGTCTCATCGCGTTGAATAGAATCAGGAGTTGCGGATGGCCGAGGTCCCATGTGCCTCAGTGTGTAGATGTTTTGTCCACCTGATCATCCTTACTGAGACCACTTATATTCTGTGTGAATTTTTCAACCGATCTCGAAATGGCATCAGAGCAGTTCACAACTATAGTCATTTCCACTATCTCGGTTTGCGTACTTGGGTGACCAACAATGCGTTTCTAGACTCTTGTTCTACAACCCATTATCACTGTGGATATTAATCGCCGGCTGCTCACAGCTTGAATTCGTTTGCCGGTAGTAGCTGTCAGGTAATACTTTCAGTCTTCACTTTTGTGTTGTGATGCACAACTTATTAATCAGTATTTGTAGTTTTCAGGTAGGATCTTGTCGGTTTCATTCTTAATCTACTATTAGTACGCGTTTAGTTCTGTTCCCACCTTCTTTGTTATTTTAGACGGCAAGCTAAATGTTCATTTCATGGCTGTTGAATGCTGATAATTCACTGCAGTCTGCATAACATTTCACTGGATTGCTACTTGGTTTCTATCCGCTGCGATAGATCAGGTCATTGTTTAAATCATTCTGTAGCTTTTCGACTTTAGCCGCTTCATCCAGTTCTTCCAACATTTGTCCGTTCTTCTTGAGTTACCATCATTATCACCTCCCTTATTCACCTTCTGATTAGTTTAGCGATGTGCGTCGAGGCCACTGGATTCATCGCACTTCGGTGCGTAGGTCGCTGGATTATCTGAACGCAACTGAGCTGTCGCTATCATTCCACACACAAGCGCTTGTTTCTGCGAATTATTGCACTTCCCAATTCATTATGTGACGAGATTAGGACACAGGATGCGCCTCGTTTATCACTTCGGTTACTTTTCGATCGCATCTGATGAGTCATGCTCACATGGGTCTTTGGTACTTTGTCTATCTGTGGCGTTTCACTTCACCGTTCACCCACTTTAATCTCTTCTGCCGCCTTCATAATATTCTCCTTGTTCTCCTTAGCCTATTTACCTGAAATCTGCTTGATGCATGGAATCTCTTTTGTCACTGAAAGAGCAAGGGAACAACCTTTATAACAACGGATCATTCGACCAAGCTGTTGCACTCTATGATCAATGCCTATTGCATCCAGAGGCAGATGATGGTTTGCGTTGCTTGCTCCATAGCAACAAGGCACAGGCGTACTTGAAGTTGGGAAAATTTCAGTACGCCTTAGATGAATCAACTAAAGGTTTGTTTTTGCGTCTTACTGCTACTTCAACCAATTTCAGCACTGAATCTCAATCCCACCGATGCAAAGGCACTTTTTCGTCGCGCTCAAGCCAACGAGAAGCTTGATCACTTAAAATCAGCTCTAGATGATGTACGTAGGTTGATTCAGCTGAATCCGAAAAACAAGGCCGCCCAAGATCTAGCTCGTCGAATTGAAATGACCGCTTCTGCACATGTCACTAAAGCGGGAAGTTTACTAGCACGCATTGCGTCCATGTTTGAACTTATTCAGGCGGAATCAGCTACGTCGGATAAAATGGAACCGGTATCTATTCATATTTTAACTTCTAGCCGTCTTGTCAGGCGTTGACCAACTTGGCCGCCTTAGTAGCTGAAAGCGGACCGACAGCTGCCACGATGATCTGGGAGAATCCGGCATACCATTCTCTCATAGATTTGTGCGGAACGACGGAGTTACCGGTGATGAAGGCTGCACATCGACTGGTTGCTCTTACCTTCCAAGACCATCCTGATAGAGTAAGTTGAGTAGAGCTCTTAGTGCGTTTGGATTATCTTTCACCTCATTTATTCTCTATTGTCTCATCGTATCCATTCCGACAGATAAGGAATCTGTTGCCGATTTGTTCGAATGACTTTGGCTTGATCCGTAGCTCGAGGACTTCTCTCGGATACCTTGGATATTTGCCTATCCTCGATGTTCACAAGATTAGCCCTTCGCTCGATTCGCATTCAATTTCACTAGATTTACACTCGTCACAACATTTTCTCCGGTCTGAGGCGCTGAAACTCAAGCATCAAAGTTGTTCCCACATTCAAAAGTTGGCAATAGTTGGAATTCTCTAAATTTAGTTTTGATGGTTTAATAAAAAATGGATTATGAGTGTAGTGCAATCTAGTCATATGGTAAAATGTTCTTTACAACATACCTGTAACAGACAACCTTGAAATGATGTTAAAACTGTGTACTCAGCCTTCGATGTCGTTGCCTTGATTTACTACTGATTTAAATTGGCAACTGTGGTACGGAATGGGAATGGAATGAACGCGAATTCAGACACTGATTCAGTCGAAAAATAATGAACTAGGAGGGTAGATGCATTTTCTGCGTGAAACAGTCAGCATGTATAAACACTTCACTGAACGCGAGGACATCACTGGCTTTGTGATTTTGCCATGTCGGAAAAGTATTTTCCTGCAGTTTTGATTATTTCTCTTTGGATCCAATGTGAAAAAGCAACGTGTACCGGCCTGTTCACATCGTTCTGGTAATTTTTCTACTTAGTCTCATGATGGAGAAACCTTAACAGGTTTGTGCCTCACGTGATCAAAATCGATTCATTGGGATCACTGATTTATTACTGATTAGGAGGTCTTTCCGAAGCATTCGTAATGCATATTGATTTATCTAACAGCTACGTTGATCAAACATAACAATTCTTGCGTGAATTTCGTATAAACTGGCCTTAAATTTCTTCCTGTCCACTTTGTCCTAGTAACTACGCTTCTTTGATAGAGGTGCTTCGAATATTTTTCAACATCGATATATCAATTTGTCGATCCGGTGAATTTTACAGCACACAGGCCCATGTCAATTTACCTTTCTCAAATATCATTGCCTGTCGTCACCATCAGGATGTAAAATTACTGCTGTGTTGAAAGGTTTCTTCAGTTCTCTGAAGCACCGGCTTATTTCTTCCATTGCTAAATTGTCTGCATGTGTGCCATTTCAGCTATTTCTGAATGGTTAACTGTAAGCCATAGGACCTTGGGTTAAATATGTGTGCTTACTTCACCTACATCAAACGGGCACTGCAACATTCACCTTATGAGACAGTTCTTCTATCCCCATCTGAAGGCGCGAGCGCGTCGGTTTTGGACTCGTTTACTCGCAAGTATTTCTCTTGAAGTGTTTTACGTGTTTCGAAATTCACCTCACTCCTATTTTATCTTTACTTCGCTGTCTCATCGCCCTCAATAGTCACCCACTTTGATTATCAGCTTAATAGTGAACATCCCTCCTTCCCTCACCTAGTGCATGTTCGTGTTGGAGCGCCTAACACCACAGTATTTCTTCGATCGCATTCTCTCTCAGCGACCGGAGGAGTCGCTTGTGTCTTGTCGTTTTCTCAATGCGGTGCTGCAGAGCCTGACACAGTTAGATGCGTATCACAAGGCCAAAGAGGCCGATGCTTTGAACACTTCCAAGGAGACGAGCAAGGTGGCACCTGTTGCTTATCCACGATTTATCTTGGGTACGTTTGGTGTACTTTTCAAATGTAATCTTTATACTCGCGCTTTGCTGATAACCCCTTGGGGTCAATCTGATGCTCTGTGAAGACACGTATTTTTGAGTTCACCTCCGAACAACATTTTTTTTCGCTTCCTGTCGTTAGAAGTGAATATTCGTTTGAGCTCGAACAACTACAGCCATTGTGTCGATGCAAATCCATTTACCACGCGTCGTCGTAACAGTGTAAAGTAACTGCGAACAGGACTCAAGTGGATTACAACAACTGTTGGTCGAGGAAATTTGGGTAACATTCTGCTGAATCAAGTGTTGCAATAGACCGAATTCAAAGGCGTTATTGAGTCCGTCACTGCCATGTTGGCTATGGTATCTAGGCATTGATGTGGCTCATACCGAGGCCACCAGTCATGAAGACGATACGCGCCCCCCATATTTAGACCCCAGTTAATTCGTTTATGCCTTTCTGATGAGTCGTCTGTTGTCTTTACAATTTTATCGCACTAGCTGCAGCAACTACACTCCTGAAATTGACGAGTATACGGTAGTCATAGTGTGGCTAATGTAAATGCTTCAGATTTAGCATACAATTAGCTGCAGTACTAAAGGGTTTTTTCCCGCGACCAGCTTTCGGATTTCGTTATTGATCATCCGGTGCTTCCACCAGATATGCTAAGACTATCAGTCTCTTAAAGTTTTCATTGATAAGTGCTCATACTTCCCCATTTTTTATATTAACACCGGTCTTATGGTAGCATTACACACCCCTTCTTTGGCTTACAAGCCGATATCTTGCCTCCTCCTTAGATGAATGGGTCTTAATAACGCCCGGAGCATATTATCGTATTTGAACTTGAATAACTCGAGTTCCTTGTTAGTGGACTTCCTCAAACAACCACCAGACATCTTTATTGTCAATTCGCGGCAGTATTTTTCAGGTTAGTATATGACCGACCTTTACTTCGCTCTCACTTATCGACGAACTTACATGGACCACGACGGAAATTAGACACTACCCCCTTCAGATATCGTATTGTGTTGTGCTCATCATCAACCCCTGTGCACATCGCTGTGTTGAAGTGGACCGTTTTTTCTTCGATGCAAAAGCTCTTTAATAAACTGCGAATCAACTTGTGGCACTGTGAGCCAGTGTCCGCTGGTGGCCGAAAGCATTACACGCTTGACTTGTAGTCCGGAGACCATCGGTTCGTATCTGTCTAGGCGCGGGATACTTCGCGCTATACCCATACTATGCGCCATTTCTGGTGGTAGTCGCGTGACAGCGAAATGTCGATACGATGTGCCGATGTGCTGCTTACGTTTTTATTTTTGCTATTCAGACTGTAGTCGACGGGTGGCCGAACGGATTATAAGTCAACTCAAGTCGAAGTAGGTTTTATGCACCCGGGTAGATGGGTTTTCCGCATGTTACACTGTCATTGCGGATGGTGATGTATATGAAATTACTGTTATAGGCCAAATAAAACGCATAAAATTATCTACACTTATCACTCGAGCAAATAATTTCGCGTCATACCGGTAGTTTTGCTTGGGTCAACAAGCAAGCGGGACAGGTGCGATAGCACAAAATTACCATAAGATGCGGTACGTGACTTTAAAATCTTAAATTTGGAGCTGGTAGAGGAAATAGATGTTTTTGATAGGTCACAATATAATGGGTGAAGAGAGTCGTTTAGAATTTTGGAGGAAAATTGTTACAAGCGTCTAGGTGTTTGTTTACAATAAAATCCACAAGAGAGTCTCTAGACAATCCGGTGGATCTGGTGCTAAGCTTTATGGATCGTGAAATCTGTGTATAACCATTTTTGTGTAACCCAGAGAAGATTACAGGGGAACAGTAGAGCCAGTGAAGCAGTATACATGCACCCACAAATCTAAGAATCAAAGTACGAGGTACTGAAAGTAGTTTGAGTCGAGTAGCATAAAGTGACAACCGTCTAACCTTAGAAAAGGTTTCGGCAGCATGCATAGACCAAGATAGGTTTCGGGATAAAATGACCCCTAGAAATTTAATACTTGCCGATCCGGGTACGAACTGATCACTCACTGCCAATGGAGAAGTGGCGTCCAAAACAACTCGTAAATTGGTAGCTCGGAGAAATGAGAATGTTAAGTCACGACATTTAGAAGGGTTCAAAATCAGGGATCGGGATGACGACCAAAGCACGAGCTCATCTGGACCATTTTGAAAAGTAGATGTCACCGCGGTTGGAGTTACGCATCTCAGTACGGCATGGTCAGCATAGTTGCATTCAATAAAGGCAGTTGGTATGGGGAGTTTTTCAATGTATAAGACAAATAGAGCAAGTAAGTGAATAGCTCCTTGTAAAACACTTCGACTAGAGAGCAAAGCAGTAGACTTCGCTCTATTAATCTGGGTGAATTGAGTACGGTTTGTGGATTAGTCATTAGCCACGCCGCAAACACTTGTTTGAACCTCATTTGCAGACAACTGGTTGAGCAGAATTGATCTGTTAACGCTACCGAAAGCATCTGTATAGTCGAGAAACAGGAGACGAACTGCCCCACCTTTTTCATCCAGTGCAGATGCTACAGAATGCACAAGATTGGACACCGCATCCAGTATGGAGAGGCCATGTTTTGGTCGAACTGGTATTTATCGTTTGCGTTGGTGCGTGTGAAAATCCGAGGAACAAGCAGTTTCTCGAAGACCTACAACATCACCGATGTATATACTATTGGACGATACTTTTAAGAATCCTTTTTTGGAACAGGTGTTATCCTAACAGATCTTCAAATGTTTGGGATAGTGCTCTCTATAAGACATCGGTTGAAAATTGCGTTCAGAGGTTCTGCAAGATAATCTGCACAGTGGTTTGGGACAAGCGGTGATAATGTATCGGAGCCAGTAGCCTTATTTATCATCAATTTTTTGAGTTCATGGCAAACATTAACCCTTTGAGTCCTGAATTAATTTACCTATATCTCGACATCAACCACCAAAGTTTACTCCACACACTGTAGAGCCATGTATCGGAGTCCCGGCCCTTACTTACTTGTTGACAGAAAGCTATTGTACGCGTCCTCGCGAGTACCGACAGGAAGGACGCTTGCTATGAATCTGTATTACAATCTAAACAATGTGGTACTTAAAAGTTCCGCCGGGGCAGAGGGTTCAACCTGTCAATGGTGACTACCTGATGACCTGTGTTGGTGAAGTGGGACGAAGAAGAAGAACAAAATTCGGCGTTGAGTTTGTGCACATCCACGTTCTCAATGTGCTTATGGGAATTTTATCCACATAAGTGTTTCAAAAGTCTTCAGCGATCGCGACAATCTTGAGAGCCCAGCACTATCCCAATGTGTAGGTGGTTCAAGCTTTTTATCTCGGATTTGATTGCTATAGAAAGCCTTTTAACTTGCGCACTCAGTTTGCATTTATAAGTTTGTTCTCTTTTGTTTCTTCTAAATTGCTTCAGTAACGGTGCAGGAAATCTATCCATACCTAGGTAGATAATCTCAACAGGGCAGTACAAATCGAAACAGAATTAATATATTCAGTCAAGTGCTCGCACTCCAAAGGTAGCTTTTCGTTCTTGAAAACTGAAAAGTCAGTTGAAGCCAACGTCGCTTGGAGTTTCGCAATGTTTTCTATCCTGCAGTCTCTCCGTCTGCCATTTTGAATAGCTTCTTTGTCAGTGAGATAACCTTGGCCTTGCAGTACATGACTGAGCATACCTTCTGAATGCAGTGATCTGAGTTGCCGAGAGGAGCCCTTTTTAGTGTAGAAAATAACTGAAATTTTGGGTGAAGACAAAATCTGACTGTGCGTTCAGTCTGGTTTCGTAGTTCACCATATTTTTTAAACTGAGTAGTTTGATAAATGCCGCGTCACTTGTTGCAATCACCACCAACAACACAGAGGGAGCTCCCAATTTTGGACGGTAACGCTGGGGAAAATTATCGGCAATTTCCCCAACTCAAACGGTGATGTGTCAGGAGCTATATACAGTTCCAATAACTACAGAATGAAAACCGCTCAAAAACTTTGGTTTATCTTCAATTAAATGGCAGCTAATCTTTGATGTTGAGTATGTAAACAACAAGGCCACCGATTTACATCAGAGTTCGTTGGTATAACTGATGACGCCTCCTCTACGATTATGTGGCTTTCCAGGTCTTATTACACGGTGGCCACTAAGTTACATAATGTCCTCCACGTCAGCATGGAGCCAACCTTTTTGAGGCATCATGACACCTGTATTTGCAAATTTGTTACACATCATAGTGGTAGTAAGCTCAGCGATTTTACTGTGGCGAGAGTGCACATTGCTTGAGAGAATCAACGGGATTTGTTCTCTATCTACAGGACAGTGTCTGAGGCCAGCTTGCCAACCAGCGCAATGTTTACTCATTTTAACAAAATGTTTTTTTTGAACATTCGTTTGGTGGTGTCCCTGGCCTTTTTACCGCGCTCGGCTTAGGGTGTGCTTCGTGCGGCGCTTCCAAACGATTTCATTGATGACCTTAGCATGGTTTAATGAAACAAAATTCCGAGAACAGCACAATAAAATGGATACATCCGCAGTAAATCTCGTAACAAACAGGGCACTAAGAACAAACAGCGATGGCCAATTTGAAAGCCCTGCCCAAACAAGATGCCACTGTCTTGCTTCGAATGTACTCACGTGCGTTCTTCCTCACCATATCTCAAGCTCACATACTACTGACTCACTGATGGTGGTTGTGTGGCAGCGAAGCGTCGGTACAGTGTGTCGGTCTATTGCTGATGCCTTTAGCTGATACAATTGTGAGCAAGCTCGAGCCGCTTATCCTTTGTGTAGAAGTTTTTGATCCAGCTATTGTTCACTGTGGGTCACTTAACCGATAATACACCACCAGTATTCCCTTCACCTTGTTCTTGATTCATTCTACTCCTCTCTTTCTGATGTTCTTCCTGTTTTCTTCTGTCCTTTTGTCGTTCATAAAACTGCCTACCCCATCCTATTCTTGTCTTTGATTATGAGAGATTCGTTTCATTATCTCACTTGTTGTTGTTATTTTCGCATTGCCTGCTCCGTAGATCCGATCATGGAAAAACCTGTTTACAATATTTTACATCACTTGTCCCGAACCGTGAATAGCTATCGGCTCTCAGCAGCCGCTCGCGACTACATCATCGAGATGCTTATCCGGTTTGTACCCTCAGAGAAGGGAATCGGTTGGTCTCAAAGGATCGTCAAGTCGGAAGGTGAGTTCGTCGTGCAGTTCTCAGCATTCTCATTTTTATTTATTCAAACCCACTTTGAATCAGGAGAGGTCAGTTACCATGTCTCATTTTCTTTGCGCTTAAAATTTTTGATTATAGCAGTTCTGCGCTAGCTATCTTGGAAATAAATCTCAGCGTTTTTAAACGCTTTGTTGACATCCTTCATCGATATGAGCACTGAGACTGCTTCTAAATAACTTGTTCCAGACAACTATGACTTAGACATATTAAGTTCCGTTATATTCCTCGTTGGATGGGGCTGACTTGTCGATAAACCTGCTAATGATAAACCGTGGAGGGAAAACTGTTGACGAAATATGGGCTAAGTGTGATCGATGTAGTGCAGGGGCATTGTCAGTTACTCTTGGCTTTATTAATTGTTAAAGCGAACCTCATTTTTGGTGGCCTCTGGCAGATCAAACATAACCTGACTGGAGCGAACTCTCAGTTCTCCTTTATCACTGGTACATCGTTTGTTATTGCCTGAGTACTTACGCTTATTATCCGAGATTCCTTGGTAGTGTGTGATTGTCCTCAAACAAGTTACTGTGGAAATTTGCAGCCGCATTATCGAATTTCACCCAATCCGTATTGCATCGGTTGTCAAATTGTTGAACCTGGCACTTCGAACGTGGTCCGCCATGCAAACTGTTCCTTGAAACTCCACGTTGCGGATCAGGCTTCTATGTCAAATTCCAGAAGCACGAACCTCAGACGATGATACTTTTTCCAACTTAGGAGCATGCGAGTGAATTCAGTTGTCAGTGTCACTTCATTTACTTTTCATTCACCACAAACCTCTTTTTCACATCACATAATTTTCTAAAATCAGCACTTCCTTCCACCCCTTAGATCGCTGGTGGCAAGTAGGTTGCATTTTCAATCCTCTTCATCATGAAATTTTTGTTTGTGCTATCCTGGGAGCGTGCATGTTCACTCATGTGACTCAGTTTCCTACTGCTTATGATTTGTCGTGTTTTTGTGTGTCTTTGACTATTAGCGTTTATGCCATCTATGTATGTGTACAGAAATGACCGCTCCATCCAATCACAGGAGTTGGACTTTCGATCACAGAGACCGGTCGTACCCGTTAGGCTTCTTGTTCCCATCTGTTCCACAGCATCAACGATTTTTTCGCTCATCATTTCTCTGCCTCTCATTGTGGTGGATGGAAACACGGATGTTGTCATTGTTGCGAGTGACGTAGGTATTAGGGGTGGTTTGCTTTTCATGGACAGTACATACTTTCCGATTCCGTTTCAGAACCATTCCTGGATCTTCTCGACGTTGAGAATCAATGTCTTAAGCTTTACACACACCCTACATTTTGTGCACTAACTCAACCTTTATGCCACAACGCACTTTAATTAGATGGCGGCAAAATAACGGAAAACCTAAAGCAAAACAAAATAAAAAACAGGTATTTGAAATACTTTGTAACATGGGCAACTCGGCTTGTTTTGTTCGCTGCTGATTAGTTCACCGAGCTTGATTAAATAGTCGCATACGTTTCGCCACCGTGCGAGTTGGCATCGTCAATACAGTGATGCGCGATGAGCGATCTCATTGATTCAATGAGATTCCATGATTCCGCTTAAGTTTTTCATTATATTCTCTTTTATGTTCGTTACTTCGTTTCACGTTCCCAATTATTTTGCGAAATGACGTGACTCTGCTCACCTCAGTTTACTGCTTCTGCCATGCTCGACAAAAGCGTGTAAACAGACATAGTTGGCTACTACGATTTACGGCGCTAAATACGGCCCCTTTGTCCATGTCTTTTCTTCTTCAAAACCACAATCAATCGTTCGTCTTTCCACAGGCACCAACCGTCTCTCATGGTGAACCGACGTCCTGCTACGTATGCGATCGGGCCTGTCACACCTTTTCTCCTATTTACTTTAATTGATGCACTGCCTTTACCGAACTATTTCCATCTACTTCTCATTTGATCTGTGGCACAGGCTTTAACCTCACTATGACTGTCGCCTACGTTTGCTTCGATCTTTCCAGCTCTCTTCTTTCTGGACGTAGTTTCTATTACCCTCTTCTTTGCCCCCAGATACTACAGTTTACCATTCGCACGATTTTTTTATTATTATTGCAGACTTGCTTGAACGTTTGCTAGAAGTTGGTGGTGCAGCTGGGACAAGCGCTCTTGGTACTTGGCGCTGCCGACGACTCCGGAAATCACGGGATCCAGTAGACTCTAGCCCAGCCGGTGGCGGCGCCGATCTTACTCGTTTACATACTAGTCCGAACACGCGAATGACAGTGGCTTGCCTACTGGCAAAGCTCTGGGAAGATCTTGGTTCGGACAAATTGAGAGAAGCATTTACCTCCACGTGCAATGATTTCATTATGTGAGCAACTGGTCGTTTTTCCTCGATTGTCGGCTTTCCTGTTCCTTTTACAGCTGCTTATGTTGGGGAGATTATTCCGTAGGGTA